AGTCACTCAACAGAGGTATTGTGATACAGGCGAGCAGGCGGGCGATGAGGGGACGCGCTTGTCGCTCAGTGCCAGCCTAAGGGAGCTCTCCGCGGCCGGCTTTGACAGATACTCCGGCTCTAATGTGTCCCGCGGGGGTCTACCTGGACCTGCTGCTGATAGACGCTCACAGGGAGACGAAGGGGATGAGACGGGGAGAAGAGAGAAAGGTTGTGAAAGCCACAGGATTGGTGTCATTTGGTGTGTTCCGTCTCGACAAGTAAATGTGGAGCTAGTAAGACTTTTAGGCCTATACAAGGTAAACCTAACCATCCCACGATGATGCATGAGATCAATAACAAAAAAAACATGTCATTTGACAAAACAAAAATTCATTCAATCAAGATGTTTATTTAAAAACCTGTCGAGTACAATTTTACAGAAAAAAATAACAGACATAGTTTCGAAAAGGGGTTGGATGAAGCAAACACTTACAAACTAGCAAACAACTTAAAAAAAAAAACATTACACAATACAAAGGTATAGAAGACACAGGCCCAAACACTCTCTGACCCAACACCTCACTCCCACAACACAGGACTTCTATCTATCATTATAAAGTTTTATCATTTTTGACATTAATTTACATATATGGACAGCCCCCTATATGGGACCAATGGCTCCTATGTGTTTGTTTCGGGTTCAAACTGCTTGATTCTCTGATCTGTTGTTCGCGAATCGACAACTTTGTAAAGTCCTTCGAGACGACTGCTGTTGTAATTTAGGCCTATACACAAATACATGGAATTGAATTGAACATATAAGAAAACAGTTGAGCTTTCTGATGTACATACTTAGTCCCATTTTTGGAATCGTCCTTATATTGAAATATTGTACACACACACATGACTTTAATACATTTCACAGTTCTGAAAACGGTTGCTGAGAATTGCCAGTGACAGTATCACATCTCAGGGCAGGAATGTGTGCTCATGCGTCGGTCGGCGGTCACTCACTGGGGCGGAACACGAGCAGGAAGTGGCACATCAGTTTTCAGTGCCACATTTCACTAATACGTATCTTAAAATAATAACACCGCTGGATGCATGTCGGGGACAAAAGCAAAGCAACAAAGACCCACGAGCTGTAATTGGACGGTCCGCTGCAGAAGGACACTGTGCTTTTAACGTGGGTGGGTCAGAGGTGGCTGTATTGCATTTGTAAGGTCAGTCCTGGAGGTCGCACTGCGCTCTCGGCCTTCCTGCTGCAGACAGCTGGGTCATGCCACCTACATAGAGTCCAATTATCCCTGCCAGCTAATAACGGCTCAGGTCGTTCCACCACACGGCACACGCGCTGCAGCGAATGTCCGTGTGCATACTTGGCTTTTTTTAAACGCACTGATACGAGCCACGGCCAAACGGAACACGCCGGTCCCTCGCCATGAACCCCGACCAAACCCACGTAACATATGTAACAATCCACAGGTCACTCTAGCACCGCACCTGCTCAGTATGGTGTACTGCAGCCGCTCTGACAGACATTCACTCGTTCTATCAGAGACTCTTATAATGTTTTAATGTGACTGTAATATTAATAATGTCAATAATATGAAGTTTGTAATTAGCCACACACAGCTGTAATACTCTTTCTTTCTGTCTGTCTATATTTCTCTCGCTCTCTCTCTCTGTCTCTATTTCTCTCTCCGTCTCTGTCGCTCTCTCACTCTCTTTCTTTCTTTCTCTCTCTCTCTCTTTCGTTCTCTCAGTTCAAATCCTCAACTAGGCTTCAATGAGGATTGAAATCCCTAAGAAAACTTTACCTGGTGTGCAATGATCAGTGAAACTATTGCCCAATAATTGAAACTGGAATAATATTTCTTGAACGCTAGAGTTGGAAGAATCCATCCTTTAAAAAAGATAAACACACCCTACATGGAAGAGTGGAGGCAGGAGAGGGGATATTTTGGGGTGCATCATGGCTGTCTGGCTCAGACTAATGCCCTCTTCACTGAGCTGGAATGAAACATAAGCTCCCATTAATACAGGAATGAGTTGAATTTAGCTTTGTCTGCCTGCACGGCTTGGCCTGGCCAGTCCCACTGGCTTTCCATGAAGTGTGGGGCACAACACTTAGTGAGCAGCTCTCCCCTGCTCCGGCATGCCACACCCTGCCCACACCCCCAGCGCTCGCCTTTGTTCTCTAACTATAACTGCAGTCGTGCCAAGGCCCCTGACTTAAATATTCCACTATAAAACAAGTGATAATGAACATGAAAAGCACCGGTGTTGGTAGTTGACTGAGCCGCTAAGCACACACAGCCGTAGCCTCGCACACGCACGGTCTCTGAGTTACATGTATGTGCGTGTGGACAGATACTCCGCAGGAGCTGCTCATAACCTCCGCTTTCACAAGGCCATTGTCCACAATGTCCAGTCAACAGAACAGAGTGCAGAGAGAGGGGGCCAGCCAGTGGAAAATGATTGATCCACTTCAAGGGTCCGATAAGTCCTCCAGCTGAAGTGGGTATAAATGTCTTTCCTACCTGGCAACCCCATTCAGCATCACAACAGAGATATTTATATAGCCCCTCCCTCTATGAGACCTTGACCAAAGCTTTGTCACAAATGGAGCAGGAAGTGATGCTAAGACCAAACTGTTAGCATTGTGTGATCGTCAAATGCATTCACAGAAAGGTCTGGTCCAGCTTCCACAACAAACCCATGACCTTCAAGTTCTGTGGCGAGAGTTCTACCTACTCAGGCTCTGTGACTGGAGCCCCACCGCCGGACCATGGATCTGAGCCGGACCCACTACAGACCACGACGGTTCATGGTCCATTTGTTCCTGTAGGAGTTTTGAAGAAATTCAAATATCAAATATAATATATTTAATTTCCATGAATCCATAAGGGGAATAAACATTGAATTGCTGCTTTCCAATGCGACCTCACACTAATCAGGTTGCCTCAGGGCAGCTGTGTCCAACCACCATCATGTAGAGTGAATGAACTTGAAATTCTAATGTGACTTTGTGAATGCTGTGATAGCACTTAATACATAATGATGACTTTCTACAGCGATAAGGAGCGGAAACAGACATTCAGTGGTTTATTGGACTCATGATTTGTGCTTTTTCTTTCTTATGCTTTTTAAATGTAACTAATTGTAAAGCATACAATGTCTTGCCCAAGGGCACAAGAAGACTATACATACATAGTCCAACGGCAATGGTGTATTTGATTCACCTCTCTCCATGTTTTGTTTGAGTTTATTCTGAGGTGAAGTGCAGGCTGTTAGAACACATGGGGCTAGTGTTTGTCAGACCATTGATAAGAAGTCACTGTGGAGCATCTGTGCTGACAAGCTGCATGTAAAGGTAGCCTGTCTGCCCAGCTCCCCAGAGGACCAAGCCTGTACAGTATGGTATATATATGTGTGCACACTTGCCTCTCTGTGGGCCCTGTGCTCTCCCTGAGGTGAGATGAGACCCCCAGCCCCACAGCAGCAGCAGGTCTGGGTCTGCTCTCCTCACTGGGCAGCACAGACTCGGCCCAGAGCCAGAGGACGCCACTGTCAGGATGGGGCTGTGGACGGTGGAAGATATGTGCCACTCTAAATGTGTGTATATGCGCAGCATGCTTGAGGTGGGGGTTGCGGGGGGCTCTCTCCCCAGACACAAGTTGCTCAGTTTTTTGGAAACTCTTTGGCCCACCCAAGAGGAAAGAGTAGGAGGAGGTGGTGGTGGCAGAGGGAAGGGGGACTGAGGCCTTGGGGGAACAAAGCCTTATTTCAAACTTGCCGAAAACAGGGGTCTCTATGTTGTGATGCTGGGGCCCCCCTCCTATGTAGGGAGATGTTATCGCAAAGATGCAATATCCACCTAGGCACAGGGCCGTGGGGGGGTGTGCCACTGCATAGGCCTCCAGTGTTACACTAAGTACCCTGGGGCACTGACCTTACTAATGAAGTCTCCCTTGGCTGCCGCTGCCACTACTGTACACTCCTTTGTCTTTCACACGGGGATCTCTCACTCGATTTGTCTGTCTGCTCTGCGTCGGCCGGCCTGGCTGGCAGCGAACAACAGCTGTGTGTGTGTGACCACTGGCCATACTGTTTACTTTGCTAGTTTGTTTATACAGTGTATTGTTAGTCCGCCTTATCCTTGCGTGGTAATGTTTGTTTGTCTTGCCCTCTGTCTTGAATTGCTCCATGATCCTCCTCTTTGAGTTAAATGTCTGTCTTCCTCTGTGTGCATTTATGTCTCCATAGCTGCTTTGAAGTGTCTCCCTGATTTACTGTCCGGCTGTCTTTTCTAGTCCTTTTGACTTTGAAGCATTCGGTTATCTAACCATTCAAACCCCTTCGTCTAAGCTTACTGTGGCTTTTAGATGTGACCTTAAAGATGTTAAATCAGAAGTGGGAAAAGGGAAATTTGATTTTGGGAGATGGGGATCGAGAGTAAGGCACAATTAAAGTGGACGCCCCACATTCCTGTGTGGAGCCAGTAGCCTGGGGATAGGATTTGCTCAGTTTTCCTGACGGCTTCAAAATACCAACAATTCAAAGTTTGAGCCTATCTGAGTCAGTTGCTTCCAAACCTGAAATGTAAATCATATACTACCTTGGCCATAGCCACAGATTTGACTTTTTTGTTTCTGGATCAGTTTTGAGCTGGATTAACGTCCTCTAAGTTTAATATCCAGCATGTTAAACAGCCCTTTTGCTTTGATGCTTAGGTTTTATTTTGACATCTTATAGAATGGATGTCACGGCCTCCTGTTGATGCTGCTAAGCTGACACAGCGCTCTTAACCTCGTCCAACAGTGGAAGGGTGTGGCGTTGAGCAAACCTACCAAACGTTCTGCACAATTCCACAATACCGGGCTCTGAGAGAGCCAAAGTGGAAAGTTCGCTTTAGCACCCACTGGGTTAGCAGATGAAAGAGCTTTAGGGCGACATGGGAGTGTGGTCGGCGGAGCGATGGGAGCATGGCGCATGGTGTAGGGGGCTTATATCTCTTTATCCCGTCTGGCGTGCTGTGGCCGGACTGGGACACACGTCAGCTGTCCACTTTTCTCCAGCTGCCAGTAACTCCGCAGTCCAAAGCTGGCCTGTCTGCGGATGGATTACCTGGGCCATCGCGTGTCGCCCCTTTTTACTGTGAGCCCAAGCCCAGCTGCCCTCACCTGAGCACCCCTGCATGGCACAGGGGGCGAAGTTATAAAAAGATGAAGGGATGGTCCGTGGCATTGGCAGCTTTTGGTGCTCGCTGCTTTCATGGGGGCTCGCGGGGATTAGCTGTCGGCCGGTGGTTATTGATTCAATTTCAGATGCTTTTTTATCTGTGAGCTTGCTAAGGCCCGTGCACATGCTAGCTTCCTCTGATCCCGTCAGTTCTAAAAGGACTTCTGGTGGCGTAGGAGATGCCAGAGCAGCAGAGGAGGCATCTGTCATGTGTGTGGGATCAGGGGTTGGGCATGTAGACTGCTGCTCTGAGCCAGTGCTGAGCGCCCAGCACACACAGAGAGCGCCTTTGGTATTTACCCGTAATGTGGTCCGCTGCTGGGAACGTGTCTTCAGCATCCAAGCTACATGTATGCACAATGTAACGAGAGGCATGAGCCACAAGCTGACAGTAGGGAAGAGATGTATGGCTTGTTTAACCCTTTAATGTTCACTCCTGAAGAAAGTTTTTTCTTTTTTGGATTTTTTAAGATGTAGGGTAGGACACAAATAACAAGTTTTTTGTATATATAAATGATAGGCCTTTATCAAAAGGTTGAGGTGCAGTTTTATGGTAAAAGTGCCTAAAACCAGATGAGATGCAACAAAAGAGGCAGATTTCAGTTCCAAGCTTCAAGTAGATATAAACTGAAAAAGTGATCCACCAAATAGTTGAGGAAACCATTAAAGAATAATAATCACTTTATCTTTATTTTTGGGCAAAGTAACGGTGTGTTTTGTCTCCTCCCTTATTTCAGATTTTTTGATAAAATGTTCTGGGATGAACAAAAATCTATTATAATTTAAAAAGTCAAACCAATGTCGATGTTGACTTTAGCTGCCACTATGTTACACATGTAATACCACACTTAAATGTGCAGCATCTGCAGAGGTAATATACAATATATTTCTCCATTGAAATCAACAGGTCCCACCCCGACAATGCAAACATGTGTCATATGATGTTATTTGTCCAATGTTCGTCTTCTTGAATAATAATCACCAATTCTTTACTATAGGAACAAGCAACGGTGCGATCAGGCCCCTCCCTTATTTTGCATTTTTATCATCAGGCCCAATGTCACAGCACATTATCACTGTTGACATGCAGTGCGACCTTTATGAAGCCCCTTAACCACAGGTATTATGACAATTGGAAGTCTGTCTTGTAGTTTTAACTCAATGTATTATTGTTTTGCCCTAAATCACAACAGTAGTTATCTCTGGAGACGTTACAAAACTGTCGCATTTTGCCAACACAGATCAGAGAATCAAACAGTTCAGACACAAGAAATGCAACAATAAAAAACACACAGAGCCATTGGTCCATAAGGACAGAGACCAATGTCTATAAATGTTGATATAGTCCTTGTTTAGTTTCCTGGATATTTATTTATATAGCACATTTCACAGACAGACTCACAAAGCGTATTGCAGTTGTTGTTGTTGTTGTTGTGTCCTCTCACTGTTGGGCGGCTGAGTGGATAGCACTCTCGCCTCTCAGCAAGAAGGTCCTGGGTTCGAATCCCGGTCGGACCAGGGCCTTTCTGAGTGGAGTTTGCATGTTCTCCCCGTGTCTGTGTAGGTTTCCTCCGGGTACTCCGGTTTCCCCTATCACTAAAAATATGTACAATAGGTCTGGCATGCGCCTCCTGTTCGGCGACCCCGCTCCCATCTCTGTGTGGAGTGAGAGGACAGATGCCCAAAAATAACAATTGTAAACAGCTTTGTGACTCTGGTCTGTGAAGGGTGGTATATAAATAAACATTACTCACTCCTCACTTCAACTATTGTACATGTTTTTTGTGGTTGAGAAAAACACACACAGGGAGAACGTGCAAACTTCACACAGAAATGCGGCGCCTGGAGTTGGATGTTCTAACCATTTCGCTTCCATGCTACTTGCTTTAGAAAATACTAGCAGTGGCAGCAGAGAGGACGCAATAGAACTCCAGAATATGCATTTATAAAGTATTGGTTCTATACAGTTCTTTTCTGGACCCTAAAAGACAAAGAGAGACGACCAGACATTCATTCATTTAAAGTTTATACAATGAATAAAAACTAAAAATCATCGGTACAGAACAGTCTGGGCGATGCATACCAGTTGAGTTATGGGTGTGTTTGTGCTCTTCAAACATGAACCTTATCGTGAGTCGGCCTCAATTGACCTAATTTTTATCTTTTAAAAACGTAAAATGTTTAGTGTCACCCAGCTTTGAGGTCGAAACAACACTGATACATCTCAACTAAACACAAACATTCACTAGTGGGTGGTAGAGCAAGAAGGTTCCGCGTTCGATTCCACCTCCGGGCCTTTCTGTGTTGAGTTTGCATGTTCTCCCCGTGTCTGCATAGGTTTCCTCCAGGTGCTCCGGTTTCCCCAACCACTAAAAAAAGTTTGCGCAATAGGTCTGAATGTAATGGGTGAGTGAACGGATGGTGTTGCGCCAGTGTGTTCGGCAAGAATAGAGAGAGAATGGAAAACATATCTGAGCACTCAACAATTGTAAAGCGGTTTCTGTAAAATCTGTCAAATGCGCTATATAATTAAAGAATACTCACTTACTTACTAGTCTACGTGGTCAACACAGTCATACTGATGAATATGAGCCTAAACAAAGCATTTTCTGATTGCTTAATTTGGGGGTTTTTTTTCAGTCAAATTACACGTCCTTTGTATAAAAAGTTCTACATAGGAATGAGCAAAAACCTTTTAATTTGATTTAATTGTAAGTCAAATCAATGATATTTCCAGAAAATAACTTGTTTATGTGTTTGTTGTTGATGACGTTACCACTATAGACATGTTTGAAGACACTTAAAAGCTCAGCATCTGCAGAGGTAATATACATCATACTTCTCCTTTAAGACTATCGTTGAAATCAGAAGGCCACGACCCGACAATGCAAACATTTATCATATGCTGTTTTTTGTCCGGTGTTATTCTCTTGGTCATTCCCATACACGTTTACAAGCAGAACTGTATGACGCGTAGAAATAGTGAAAGCAGCGCGGGTGAGTGACAGGCGACCGAGCGGAGAGCAGGGCAAAGAGCAGAGGTTAATGAGAAGAGCAACATGATGAAAGAGAGATCCAGGTCCACGGCCCCGCCCCTGCCCTCCCGCGCTCCCTGTTTATTCTGAGATTGTCATTTGTCATTGGTGGGCCTTTTCTTTCGCTCCTCCGACAGCCAGCTCCAAATCATGCGCAGACAGATGGAGGGGCCAGCAAACTCAAATAGAGATGGGACCAGGGCGCGGAATAGGGGGGCCCGAACCCACGGCCAACATCCCACGTTTGATGTCCCTCCCATGGGCCTCATCCGCTCTGTCACCCCCCTGGACTGCGCTGACAGATGGAACTTTGAGACACCAACCCGCTGGGGACAGTGGCACCGAAATATGAAACAGAAGGAGAGACGAGTGTGGGAGATGAATGGTTTGCTGAATGAAAGTTGATGGACGAAACTGTGTTGGAAATGGTGAAATCGCACTGTTGGCGTTAGCGTGTTAGCTTTAGTTTCTCGGCTCTACACGAGATCAATGGCAATTTTCCATTCCACAATTGATATATTATGGTTCGGAGTGCATTTTTGGGTTGGAAAGTACATTTTCTGCTGCTATTTGTTTCTAAAATTGTATAAAATATTGATATATATTTTGCAGATGGATGGATATGATGCTAAATTACAAGCATAGGAGCAATTGTAAACTGTTTTCAATAATAATAATAATAATGCCTCAGTTTATACCACGCTTTTTTGGTCATTATTCGTTCACTTCATACACAGTGGTGATCAACTACTATCTAGCCACGCCTGACCTGGGGCACTCTGACAGAAGCAAGGCAACTAGTATGTGCGATCGGCCCCTAGAACCACCCACTGTTCAAGCACACACCAGGCTCATTCTAGGCATTGTCTGTGAAGTGTCTTGGAAAGGATGGAGACGACAAAAGTTTGGTGCTCCCAGAGGTCTCCCATGACATTACTAACCAGACCCTGTCCTATAGCTTCTGAGATATGACGGGATCTGGCTTACAATATCAAAGAATATACTAGAGACCTAGACCAGCTAAAGCAGATGGCATTGAACGGGCAAAAGTACATGAAATGTTGCATGTAACTGGAAACCACTTTAAGAATCACTAAACTACTGCCAATAACTAAGCAGCATAGATATTTACCTTTAAAATGCAATTAACCGATTGTTAATTTCTGTTAGTTCAATGTAAGATCATTCATTGTGCTGCTCTGGTGCTGGCTCCTCAGGTGACCACTAGAGGCTGACAAACGGCTGTGTCCGTGAGCCGCACTGTCAGACTCTGTTCTGCAGATTGAAACAAAGTAATGTAGCAGGATTCAACATAAATCTGCAGGAGTTAACTTGGCATGGCCGTTTCTCTGGGAGCCTTACTGTTACATCCTGTAGCTAAATCTGTCAGCATACTCTTCAGTTAGCTACTACACTCATTACAAATAACTGCTTCATAAATCATAGGGCTTCCTGTCCAGCACTTGATGAAAATGTGTGGTGATTGGCTTCATCAGTTCAACCTTTGTGTCCCACAGAGCTGCCAAAAGACACAGTGAACGCCCCTCAGTTGTTTCCTCTCGTTTGCCTCTGAGTGGCCCTGCAGATGCCAGCATCATGCTGCAATGAATGGATAATTGTTGTGTTGTGTCTCGCTCGTGCCCACGGAGGAAATCTGAGAAGTTGGATGCAGAGCAACGGGGCATCACCGCCCTGCCAACCATCTGGGACGCTCACCTGCAGCATGTGGAGCCAGCTGCAGGTGACAAATGTCAATCTACCTGTTTGTTTCCAGCGTCTTTAGGAGCAGAATAACTGGCTCTTGGCTTCCTCAGAAGCTCATCTGTCAGAAATAGGAAGTATCAAAACAGAAGTTCTACTCTGTGTGTTTAAATGAAACAGGTTGTAATGTCAATAATGCCAATTATGTGCCAAGGGCACAGACTTCAGTTTTGGGGAACAACTGGGGCATTCATGAGAATAACTCATGTATTTATATCTGTGAGTCTGCAAAATATGAAATGTGCTTTTTGTTGGCTGTTCTGCAATGATCTGCTGTTAAATTGTTGCTATTTTTAGTTGAAAATGAATCCTGCATTCTTGTAAATGTCAGAATATGAAAGCTATGAGCTCAGGGAAAAGGTCCTGATCCGACCACAACATTAAATGAAACCACATTTTTAATATTCATAAGTCACAATGTGACCCGGAATAATTTTTTGAAAATTGTTGCTCCCATTTGTATGCTAATATTCTATTTGAAGATGGATGTTCGGTGGCCTTCCCCATGTGGTGGAAATCAGTATCTGTTCAGGATGGGGCCAGGGGCATGGGTCAAGTTTAGTTTTCCTGGCATTTGTAGCCCCGAGCTCATGTAGCGCCGCGGCATTATGCACTGTATTTGTGTGGCCTTTCTGATTGCTGCTGCCGGCACGCTGGAATGTGGAGACTTTATACACAGTTGTCCTTGCCATTTCATTCTAGGCCGTGATTTTGACACGGGCATGACGGGTGTGTTGCTCTCAGATTGACACTCATTGTCATTGTCACAAGACAAACACTTGACGCAGTGCAAGGATCCCATGTGCTCGGAAAGAGCTGCAGATGCATTTGTGACACACATTGTAGTCTTTATAGCGGCGTCTCCTCCCTGCGCCCTCATACTTTTTCTCATGTCTACTCAACTTCTGCTCTTTCCACTGTGCCAGGCATGGTCTAAACCACCAGCCACTTTCCATTCTCAGACAATTGTCTCGCCAGTAAATATTACTTGTTTTAATAATGGCAGACCAGACATGATTAAATAAATGCTTGCTTCACATACATGTAATGGGACAAACTCACAACCATTTTCATTTGCCCTGGCAAGCTGTTTAAACTGTCTATAAAGCCAGAGGTAAAAAGGTTCAGACTAGAAGGGTTTAGACACAGCAGCAATGAATGGAAAGGAAGTAGATCCAATCAGCTGCAGTAGCACGAGCTTAAAGCAGAACTGTGTGATGATGCAAGAGTGAGTTTAGATGCCCTGCGCCTCTGCCCCTCCGCCTGTCCTCACCTCCTACTGTTTCCAGCCACAGCACACACACACCAGGACTCCGAGGTGGCGCCCAGACACAGATTATTTACAAGTGCAGTAGCATTAAAGGAGACGGTGGTAGTCCTACTTTTAAATACCTGCAGCGCAATGGAATTTTAAAGGGAAGACACAATCTCTCAGGGTTGTCACTACTCCTTTTACTGTCTCAGGTTTGCCAATGTTTATATTAGATAAGCTGGAAAGGAGGCAAAGAACAGTTTTTTCTTTGGACACTTTGTCTACTGAACTGTGACAAAGCTGCATCGGTCTAGTTGGCGAATGCTGAACTGGGTATACATGTTGTGGTTGAGCATGTACATGATTGTGGGTCAATGAATGCTTTGAAGTTCAGATTGAGAGCACTTGAGACCGACTTTTAGAATCTGTAATTTTCTGTAATTTTGTGTAACTTTTGCTGCTGCCTCTTGTCCAGGACTCCCTTGAAAAAGAGGTTCTTAATCTCATTGGGACTTTCCTGGTTGAATAAAGGTGAAATGAAATAAATAAATGTGAGAGAATTGTGAGAATGCATTCCCGAATCGTAGTCGTGTTCTGCATTCTCAGAATAGCAGCCATTGGCGGATGTCCTGGAACGCACAAACACTGTAAATTAGAGGCCTGTAGTTTGCAAAAAGGGGTCTGCAAGATATGTTTGGGGGAAGAGTTTAAGGCCACGTGGAGTCAGTGGGGTCAGGATTGCTGTCTTAGGTATCAGCATCCGGACACAGACGCCAAAACAGCACAAACTGGAGAAACGATTAGACCAGAGAGGAGGGAGGAGGAGGCGCGCGTGTGGGTCGCGGCTACTGTAGCCCCCCAGAGAGCTGAAGACATGGCAAAAAGGGAACGGCAACAAGGGGGGTCTGGAGAATGAGACAGCAAAGAGGAAGCTCGAGGTCTTGGCGTCAGTTGGAGGTACGAGGAGGGATATGTTATGACATGGAAATCCCAGTCCGTTGGTCACGCCGACCTGCGTGAAGCCTAAAGCAGCAGGAAGACCCTGAGTCTAGTCTGACTGCCTCCTACCTGCCACTATCAGGAGCCAGGTCCACGACTCTCAGGCTTGTAAACAAACCAAACACCGTGGGAAAGACGAGTCGCTAGGCAGAGAACGCCGCTGTCTCCATTGCCCTGTCTCAACGCTCCTCTTGCTCTTGCACATCAACATCCAGACTTTTTTCCTCTTGGGTCAGCTAGAAATGGAACACCCCCCTTTTTTCGGCTGTACCTCTGACCGATGGCCCTGCGTGTTAGCCTTCTGCAAACCAGGCCATTTTTATTTGTTTGCTCAGCCTAAATAGATGCACATCCTAAAAAGAAACTTCAAAGGCGATTGAAAAATCCAGCGATGTAAAAGATACCCAGGTTCTGCCCACAACTCCTAAAGAAGCATTCTATTGATATTAAACACATGGAACAGTGTCTATGTGTGTTTTCATCCCTCAAGGTTATAAATACAATCTTTAATATCCTTGTTTAGTGCTGCAATTATATACCTGGGTACTAGAATAGACCTCAGTGAGGGTATAACCTCTGACAACCACACAGCAGATTTACCGACCGCCACACCTCTCCGGTGTCAAACCACAGAAAATCTGCCCCCCACCTCCAGCAGGTTGACAAAATGCCAGTGGTAATAAATTATCAATACTGTTTCAGTTTTGAATGACTAAGCAGTGGTTACTGGGAGCTAGGAGGAGTCAGAGCCGGCCCCAGTCGACGCCGGGAAGCCGCCGGGACGCGAACTCATCTAGCCACAAGAATGAGCTCTGTCTCTGTGCGAACGTGGAAAAGTCAGAGAGCAACGCACACTCAGAGAGATCATCCATGAGCTGCAGTCTCATTCACATTTTTGTCTGACCTGCTCTGTGTGAACTCAGAGCAGACTGAGACACTGACTACATGACTGTTTGTGGTTTGGTAAAGTGGAGAAAAACTGAAAGATAATCCCAAGAATAATCTAACAACAGTGAGTAGTTTTACTATGCCAACAACGTATCATTAGACTGCTATAGAAATGTGGCAATAAAGCTGGAGTACCTGTTTCTTTAGTTTCATGAATACCTTCTCTTTGTTTTATCATTTGAATAGGGAGTAATCCACATGGCTGTAAATGTGTCAGTATTTGCTAAACAGCTAGTTTCCAACTGTAGTCTGTCTGCAAGGTGTAAAATGGCAGCAAAACACAGAACAGAAACAGTCCACAACATGATGTCTTTATACTATTAAGAAAAACATGTTATCTTTTGAACCCTGAGAGCTGATTGGCTGATGGAGGGCTGTGACTCTATACTGAAACAGCTGATCTAAAGATGTGACAAAGGTCCATAACACATGCGAAAACTTGCAAACTTTCTTGAGAGTTAGGAACGACTTAACACGATTTTGTTCGGTTCCCCAGCTTTAAATTCATCCATGTAGACCAGGGCTTTCCAACTTGTAGCTCGGGATCCTCGCCAGCCCCTTTCAGGTCGCTCCCCATAGGATTGAGAATTGAACACATGATCTTGAATAAATACATATTATAAGTATAGATATATGGGTTAGAAAGTATTATAGTATATTTTACGTGCGTTCTCCATGTGCGTTGTCGCTTGTCATAATTATCACACGGCTTTTCATTGTGACTGCAAAAACTCTGCGTCTTCTGTTGTATAAAAGTAGCTCTCGGATTGAAAAATGTTGGAGAGAAACCCCTGACGTAGACACACAGACACCAGATCTGTGACCAATCAAATCCGCTCTCTGCTTTAACACTGTATTAAATAAATGTCTTTCAAACGCCCGTATTTGAACGCGCGGCAGATCAAGTCTATTGTTGATCGCGGAAAGACAGAACACTTTAGACTGTACAGTATAAACAGATGAAAAGACTAAACAAAATAACTTGACACAATGCTTACTGGAATTGATCAAATCCCTTGAACTCTTGAGCGACAAAGACAAGACGACATTTTTCATCCTGACGGAACACACTGGAGAAAAGACATATAAAAACATATCTCCGCAAAGCTTTGCCCGTAACTAAATCACAAATGTTAAAAGTGAGAGATGATTGACAGGGCTATTTTCTTGACGCCAAAACCTTCTATAAGACACATCACTGTATATGTTATAATTGAGTTCAATCCACACAGGAAGAGTAGGCGATCTTTCCTTTCCCCAGTACGTCAGAGGGGCTCGTCCTGGTGTCCTGTGCCAGATGGCAGTTTTTGCCCCGGCCCAATGCTCCACTCCGTCAAACCTACCAGTAAAACATTTCTCCTCACCAAATACTCTGCTTTTTGGTATGTGATGCCGTTCTGTGGTGGTATATTTAGGCGTACGGTTTGGACCAGGAAGAGAGCCCGGCGTTGAGGTTATTTGATTGCTTCATTATGGTTACTTATATATGGCCATATTTATGTATACTTTGTTATGTATGTCATTACATGTACGCGAGTGAGTGTTTGTTTGTTTGTGTGCGTGTTGTGTAGATGGCTGTGCGTATGTGTGTGGCAGTAGAGAGGGCCCAGTGTTTCGGACCACCCTGCGCGCCGGCCTGACTGACAGCATGGGGGCTCACACACACACACACACACACACACACACACACACACACACACACACGGACACATACACATGCGCACGTCAGCCAGTTCATTTTGCACCATGTTTTCTACTCTATTAA